AACACCGGTACAAGGTATACGTATCGACCGTCGGTTCCTGCTCATCGGAGGGCGAGGGAGAGTCCACTCAGCTCTGACGCAATCTTTAAACAGGTTAAATCTAAGATTCAACTCTTCGAATTTGGTTCTTGATACTGTTGAATGGTTCTAGAGAGCGATTTTCTTGATGAATTAAGTTTTTTTCTTGATTTTCCAATTGCAGAGCCATGCCGGATTATTCAACCTGTGTGTAGTAGTTCTTGTTGCTGTAAACAGTAGACTCATCATCGAAAATTTGATGAAGGCAAGTTACTTCTTTCAATTATTGTTTCTGGAGCTGAGGAACTTTATAAGAGATCTTACATTTGTTGTTGCTATCATTCATGTAGTATGGTTGGTTGATCAGAACTGATTTCTGGTTTAGTTCAAGATCGCTGCGAGATTGGCCTCTTTTCATGTGTTGGTAATCTTTCTGAATGTTAGGATATTCACATTCTAATTATACATATAATGATGAGTTTAGTGATTTCAGTTCTTCTTTAACTCTTCTGTTGCAGTCTCTCCCTTTTGATCTTTCCATTGGCTGCTTTTGCCGTCGAGAAATTGGTACTTCTGAAATGCATATCAGAGCCTGTGAGTAAACTACTCTCTAGCCATTACTGGATTCTTTTTACCGAAGACGAATTTGTATCCTGCAGAACTTATAATTTTTTTTCTGATAATACTGAAGGTTGCCATAATTCTTCATATTATTATCACCATGACAGAGGTCTTGTATCCAGTTTACGTCACCCTAAGGTGAGAGTATTATGCTACGGTGTTTCTGGTCCTCAGCTTGTGATACTCTTTTAAAGTTTGGTTGGCTAACTCAATGATCTTGAAAATGGACAGGTGTGATGATTCTGCCTTCTTATCAGGTGTCACATTGATGCTCCTCACTTGCATTGTGTGGCTAAAGTTGGTTTCTTATGCTCATACTAACTACGACATAAGAACCCTAGCTAACTCTGCCGATAAGGTAAAGGAAGAAAAAAAAGTATATTAGTTAATTGCATTGTGTTACTATTTTAAACCAGACATTGTTATAAACTTTAGGCCACTCCTGAAGTCTCCTATTACGTTAGCTTGAAGAGCTTGGCTTATTTCATGGTTGCTCCCACATTGTGTTATCAGGTAATGTGATGCGTCTTCTGCTAATAGCATCAAACAGTCTCACTATTGCAAAAGTTTATTGTCTAAACCCTGCGTTCTTTTCTTTTTATCAGCCGAGCTATCCACGTTCGCCATGTATCCGGAAAGGTTGGGTGGCTCGTCAATTTGCAAAACTTGTCATATTCACTGGATTCATGGGATTTATCATAGAGCAAGTGCGTTTTCAACTTCTTGCTTTTTTTATTTTTCCTCGGTGAAAATCATCTTCTCTGCGTTGTCATCACTTGACTTCATGTTCTTTTGTACTTCTCTGGCAGTATATAAATCCTATTGTTAGGAACTCAAAGCATCCTCTGAAAGGGGATCTTCTATACGCTATTGAAAGAGTGTTGAAGCTTTCAGTTCCAAATTTATACGTGTGGCTCTGCATGTTCTACTGCTTCTTCCACCTTTGGTATGCCGCAATCCTTTCTCTTTTGCCATAATTTCCAAAGATAAAAACAGAAAAAGGCTATCTCATCAAGAAATTGATAGATTCAGCTACTCACAGTAATTGCAGTTAATGAACACAAATCTCTTTGTGTTGTTCTTGGCCACAGGTTAAACATATTGGCAGAGCTCCTCTGCTTCGGGGACCGTGAATTCTACAAAGATTGGTGGAATGCAAAAAGTGTGGGAGATGTGAGTTGTTATTAATCTTGTCTTACTCAAAAAGCATATGATTTTTTATGTTCTCGTTCTTAGGTCACTTAACTAACCAAAATTCATGTATTCACTCTGTTTTGCTTTGTCAGTATTGGAGAATGTGGAATATGGTATGGTTCTCTTCCTAAAGCATCGCTTTCTTTCTTCCTTTTTGTTCTTCGACTTCTTTATTATACAAAACAGAAGAAGAGAGCTGATCAAGATCTTGTTTTTCTTATCAGCCTGTTCATAAATGGATGGTTCGACACGTGTACTTCCCGTGCCTTCGCAGCAGGATACCGAAAGTGAGGGAAATATATAATATTAGTGATTCATGATGGTTGAGATTCTTCTCTCTGCTTCATAACTTTAACCCTCCACTCGTTTTTTTTCCAGGCACCCGCCGTTATCATTGCTTTCTTAGTCTCTGCAATCTTTCATGAGGTATATATACCTTCTGCATTGCCTTGTCTCTAGACACATGAACACGCTAAAAAAAGAAACGCTAATATTCAAAGCATTTTGTTCTTACTTACAATCTTGTGTTTACAAATTTCCTTACAGTTATGCATCGCAGTCCCTTGCCGTCTCTTCAAGCTATGGGCTTTCATTGGGATTATGTTTCAGGTAAAAATTCTCAAAAGTTTCGTAGTTGATTTTCACAAACAATTTGGAAGAATTTTGTCACTTTCATCTCATTTTCTATCTAACCAATGTGCTTGAGTAGGTGCCTTTGGTGTTTATCACAAACTATCTACAAGAACGGTACGGCTCAACGGTATGCTCTCTAATCTAGAAAGATAAAGACATAATCACTTTTTCCTGATCATAGCCATTAAAATCTTTAATTTGTTGTCGAAACTTAAAAAAAGAATCTGTTTTGGAATGTGATCCTTAGGTGGGCAACATGATCTTCTGGTTCGTCTTCTGCATTTTCGGACAACCAATGTGTGTGCTTCTTTACTACCACGATCTGATGAACCGCAAAGGATCAATCTCCTAAAAATCCCCGTCTCAAAGGACTTTCTCGGGCCATTGATGCGTCTGTTCTGATGCGAGAAGAAAAAAACGGTGTTTTACCAAATTGTCAATTGAAGAAGAAGGGAAGAAACACAATAGAGAGTTTGTATAAGCAAAATTTTGGTAGTGTTGAAACGACAAAAAAGAGACTTAACGAATCCTTTTGAGTTCTGATTCTCTTTGTGCGTCTCTGGATCTTTGATCTGCTTTTTTGCTTGTCCTTAACCACGTAAAGAAAAAAAAAAAAAGTAGATCGAGTCATTGGATATCTTTATGGTATAAAGAAGTTTCAATCAAAAATGTTGTAATAATTTCGACTACGATTGTTACCAAACACTGAGAACAAGAATAAATGGTTTCCTCTTCTTTTTCTGCTTTTTTTGGAAACGAGTGAAGAAAAAGTAAGTTTGAGGTTTTACTGTTAGGCCAAATCGAGTAAAAACTTTTTGTAAATTTGTGAACAAGAAAAAGGACAAAATGTGATTAAATGCATAGGGATTGTATGAAAATCAAATCAAAGTTGATTGGTGGTCCCCTTTTAGTGACTGCCCATTTAAATCGTATTTTTCTTAAGAGTATTTATTTAAATCGTATGTATCTAAGGAGACAACATTTTAGATTACGATAAAGTGTAATGTTTAGCCGTCTTCGGAAACTATAGGCTATAGCTACCGACTATACGCTCGTTGATCGTTATTGACTCTCTTCCTTCATATAATAATATATCTGTCTTATTTTTATTGTCTAACAATTTTTGTTTTAAATATGATGGGACAATTTAGCAACAACAAAAAAAAAATGATGGGACGACATGACTAAAAAGCCAGACCAAATCCATGTTCTAATTATTTTACAAGTTTATAATAATCTACTCTAAATAAAATCGTAGTATAAAAATTAAAATACATGAATTATGGTTCATCAGCTAAAATTATGATTTTTTGAGAAATTTTGAACTACACACATTACTTTTTGTAACATGTTTATCATTTGGGTTCAAATTTTATTCCTGAAATAATTTGGTTGGTTCGAGCTAAGACTCAAGGATATATTTTAAGAAGAAAACTTCTAAAAAAAAAAAAAACAGATGTCAAATTAGAAATTTTAGAAAGTGCAATGTTTCTTTTTTTTTTTTGCTAAACTAGAAATGCAATGTTTAGAAGGTGTTATGCGCCATAATACCAAAATTCCTTTTGGTCCTCAAATGTTTGTCGTGCACATTTTTAAATGTTTTTCTTACACATTTTTACAATGTTACTTAGAGCAGTTCAAACTTTAAACCTAAGAGCATCAGCAACGCTGAAACGCTTCTTTAGGATCTTAAATACA